AGAAAAGGTGACGAAATTCTACCCGGACGATAGCGCAGCACGCGTAACACTAATGTGACTACGTAGTACGCGAAAGTTGTGTCGCTTCTACTCTCTCTCTTTCTGCCTGCCGGTTAAGCCCTCTCGAGGGCCGAGAGAACCGTTCCTCTTCCACCTGCTTCGCAGCCTTGTAGAAACTCTCCGCAACTTCGTAAGCGCGTAAGAGGGAATAGAGACGGGAGAATTGCTAACTACAGATCGGAGAACGTTGCACGCCCGCTACACAATTTGCATCCCTTCCAGGCGATATGGGAATCGTCCGGAGACGCGAGATACGGCGCGCGAGAGAACGGCGACTGTAGTATTATAATATATTATAACTTTGCTTTTGTGTTTTAGCTCGACGGCCTTAAGGCTTTTCTCTTACATCGCACAGTACGGTGTTCTATTTTATTTCAACGAAAATGTTGATTTCTAAAGACAAAGGGTGTGTTTGCCAGCAATAATCTCTCTTTCAAACGAATAATCATAAATAATTACGATTGATTATTTCATTTGATATTATTATTATAACTTTCATACCCAAATGCCGTTCAATCTAGTCATAAAAGATAAAGTAAAAGCAATTTAATTGTAGCGCATTTTTAATTGTTTTTAATTTATTTTTCATAAATTAACACAATCTGTATTAGTTACAGATCTATGTTTGCACCGTCGTTCCAATCAGAGAACATAATTTCTCGCGTAAGGGATTCGAGATTGCATCGTATGTACATACACCTCTTTATCTCTTTTCCTTTCATATCGTTACTAGCTTAGCGTTGTACGTTCACGCGAGCTTACTTCTCCCGCGTCGTCTTTCGCGCAAAACTCCTGTCGTATAAGTTCGAGAATTGCTGCGAGAAGAGCGAAGTTGCTTCCTCTTCCATCAAGCTCGTCCCTCCCCCACCCCGGAAGAGTCGAGAATTCTAAGCTTAGTCGTAAGTACATATTCGATGTTGCCGTGGGGCATGTCTGGATAAGAGCTTTGAAAATTTAATAACTGTAAGTAGATCCAATACTCGATATCCTGCGGAAGAGGAATTTAAAAGGTCGCGCATTTAAAGCGCGGAAGTAATACGGCCGGATAAACCATGCTTTAACAAAGAATTTTCGGCGGAAAGCTCACATTCTGCATCCTAATAAAACAAATAATACACCCTCGCGTATACTATCATTCGCGGTGATTAAACTCCCATCCGTTTCAACGCGTAGAAGGTGTCATGACATTAATATACATAAAACAGAAATTTGGAGCGCAAACATCTCGGGATGAAAACCGGGATAAAAAAAATAATATTTGGAACGCTTTACGCGTTGGCTAATATTGCGATTCTTGTCGCACCACTCGAAATCATTCACTGACGTATATAATTCGTCGACCAATCCGCCGTTTTCATTTAGCATGAAAAACGTTCGCTCGCATTCGAATCGTTTCTCTCCTCTTGATTTGCAAGCGGGGCCGCACGTAGCCACACGTGCGTCCTACGTGAGAGGCATTCGGCAGAGAGGAAAGAGCAAGAAGCTACGTACACATCTGCGACTGCTCATCGCAGTCACCCTTCCCCATGCTTCACCCTTCCGCGCTCAATAATAGCGGAGAACGTTACTCGGTCTTAACTACCTCTTCTTACTGAAAGCGATTCCTCCTGACGATTGCTCCTGGTGGAAATCTTCTAACTTGAATCTACTGGCGTTATTAAAAAGCCAGAAATGGCTTTGCCGATTCGCAGCCATTCATTTTTAATCTCGAAATTCCACACGATCCTTTCAAATGTTCTTTATAGAAACGACAATATTAAATAAATATTTTTTATGTAGGATTATAGAATTTTTTAATATAATATTTTTAGAAATTTTATATATAGACATTTTCATAATAAATTTTATAAATATCTTTATGAAGGAACGTTTCAAATCCTGCATCAACCTTCGTACCGAATACTGCGAGTTTAATATTATAGCGTCACGCAACAACCTTTTGTCACTTGGAAAGGAAAAGAGACTTATTTCCGGTGGAGTGGAGAGACGCGAAAGAAATGATGACGAAGAGGCGCGCGAAAAGACAGCAGCGGGTGTCTTCATAAAGGTGGATCACCCGTAGCACGGGCCGCGTAATTACGTGAAAAAGAAGCGCACGGGTAAGACGACGGTAATCAAAGGACGCTCTCTTGTGTTAGCGCGCAATTAACCCCCTAGCTTTTCATCGGATGCATTTTTCGCGAGAGATCGCAGATAGATGCGAAACACGAGTTCGTTCCTGTTGTTCGGACGGAAAAAAAACGTCGAATTGCGAAAAAGCTTTTGACACGTGAAAACGAGTGTAGGTTCGCGGTTGAAAGCATCGGATAATCGACACTCTGTGATGTGATCGCCATAGAAAAAAACTATGATCGATTCCGTTCGCCAGTAAAATGTGTATTAGTTATTTAACGGCTTTAATGGATTACATGTGTCGTTTATTTAGAAAATCTTGTAAAAGTAAATACGCTACCGGTCGAAAAAGTTTTCCACCTTCCAGCTTTTAATTAAATTAACCTTGTTTTTACAGATGCAAAATTATATTCTTAAAATATCGACGTAAAAAAGTTATAACATGTATTATTTAGACAACGTTTATGATTAAAACACAATAAAAATTACATATATATACAATTAATATGTATGTATGTTAAGTTGTTGTAATTTTAAATCTATGCGTTTATAAAAAAAAAATATTGACATTTTAAAATATAAAATTATTATGTCTGATCTTATTGAAAAAATTATAGGATGCTCCAAACTTTTGAGCGGTGTGTATGTTGCATTATTAAATCCTCCATCACTCGCGTGTTTTTTTCCTAGTATCTTTAATGCAGTGGCACAGTAATGTATTGCCATTAGGCCGGATTTAAAGTGTTAGAGATTAAGCGTTAACACCCTGTCGGGCTTAGGCCGTTAAGCGTCGAACGTTAACCCTGGCGGGTTTAAAGCGTTAAAGAGATGAACTCACATAGTTATCGACGTTAGTTCACGCCAACAGTTTATTCAGGTTCGATTATTTTTATCCCGTAATCCACCGCGGTTCGGCGATAATCACCACTCGTTTCGCAGCGTCGATGCGCAACCTCTGGGAATGAGTTTAACTTAAAACTAGGCTCTCCTGCGCGCGAAGAACTGTTCCGATAAAATCCGTTTAATTCACGCGCCGACTGGCGCGATTGCACTTCCCTCTCGAATCCGCTGCTATTTCGCTTCTCATCGCGCGCCGCTGATAGATCGCGAGATAGCTATCGCCCACGACGATCCACGTTCATCTTTTACGGTACTAAAGTACCCGATCGCGGCAGATAGCTCATCAATTTCTGCAAACAATCTTCTCGATCCCGACGAGATCCTAAATTTCGTTCGAAGCGATACGAGAAGCTCTCGTACCTTCGCCTCGTGTTAAAGCACGGCAATGTGTCTACTCGCCAAAATATCTTCTGGCACAAACTAAATTTGTCACGTGACGCCTTTCGCGTGCAGACAAAAATAAGAATGCGCAAATTGAAAATACCAAACGCTCTTCTTATATGAGATGAAATTTCTTTTACATATCAATTATAATTTTATAATATAGACTCATTACAATCTTTTAATTATTTCGAATAGATGTTGGCTGAACGCTACGTTTATAATTGTTTTTATTTTTTCTTAATATTTCCAACACGAATATCTTTCATTAAAGATAATACTATGATAAATGATGTATGAAAATGTTTCCGCGGTTTCGCATGTCTTCTCGACTTTCCGCTGCTCGTATTGAAGATCCGCATGAATAACAGGCTTCAACTCCTTCGGAATTAATATGCGTTGCAAGAAACGCTGCGAGCGTGGGAGATGCTTCGCCTCAGGCTCCATTCGGCATTCGCTATTAGCGTCGCTTCGACAGTTTCGCTACCGGGAACGCAATTGTCCCAAAAAGCGCGAGCAACGACGTTTCTCCGCCAAAACGAGAGACATTGCGGCGCCGTTTTCCTCGGCAACGATTTAACCCGTTCAAGTACCGCCGGAGCAAAATTACGGCCCGTTTCCGGGCCGGTGGCGCGCGTAGCGAGCGGAAATTCGGAGGCAACCCATCGTTGCCGTCTTCGTCCCCGATGAGAGCCTGTTTAAACGTGACATTTGAAACTTGACGCAAGACGGACGGCGATAAAGGACTTATTGCTGGTTACGTTTTGTAACGAGTTACACGGAAACACGCGAAGCACATGTGATGTGCAAAA